AGGAATATAAAAATAAGATGAATCTGTTTTTACTTTCAGTTATACTCACATTAACCTTTGGCTTTATTTTAAAAAGACTATGCTAGAAAAATCTTTTAAAAATAGAAACAGAAGAATAAAAGACATCCTCCTGCTTCCTTTCCAACACATGAATAGCAAAAAAATATACAGGAGTTCTTTCCCAGGTCTCCCCATTGTTTTTCCTTTTTTTCAAACCATTCAATATATTTTTCCTTTTTTACTGTCTTCCTCTCTACATTTTATCCCTCTACATATCCCTCTCCGCTGAATCATGACATGAAATTACAGCTGTTTATCATACCTAAACAAAGCACAGTGAAACATAATTCAGTCTAACGTATTACTCTAAAGATTTGACAACAAAGTTACCAGCTCTGCACTACTTCAACACATTTAAAGTTAAACCCAAAATGTCAGCATGATAACAGTCTACAGACTTCCATCTGTTGAAAAAATATCATTAACAGACAATTGCAAAAGCAAGCTCTGCCATTCCTTCCAATTCAGAGCAGAAATTCTATACCTTCATCTTTTGAATAGGAGTTCTGTCATAGCCCACACTTGCATAAACAGTAAATTTGTTTTGTCCAACCTATCATTCCACATCTATCTAATCCCTCTTCTAGAAATCACTAACTTTGGAGGAACAGCACTACTTTCTTTTTTTAATAGCTAAAAATTTCCTAGTCTAATCCATGTTCTTGAAAAATGCTGACATTCTAATGTCAATTACTGTTTACTATTAAAAAAAAAAACACACACACACAACCACTTTCCACCAAGCCTTCCTTTTTTGAGCAGAAAATGACAGCAAAACAACAAAGCAAAAAAAACAATTTTCACCACTTTTTTTTTAATGTAGATACAGGATCTTGACTGTTATCTTTTTACTAGGAAAATCCTGATCTAGATGCTTGAACAGTACGTTTCCCAAGGAAATCAGAAGGCCAAATTTAATTTTGACAGGAGGGTAAAAAGATCTCAGACAAATGCAACTCTTAAGAGTTGCCTGCTTCACTTTAGAAAGACCTCTGTCATCTCTGTAGCAAAAGAAGATGACAGAAACTGCCTGCCCACTATGAATCGAATTTAAACAGAGGAATATCCAACCTATTGCCCTTGTATCCTCCCTCACTGCTGCCTAAAGTTTTTTTTCCAAGCTCCAGCAAACTGAAAACCCTTCTCCCTGCTCTCCTGCTATTAAGCACAACTGATCACTCAGGAAGATCCAGACTAGCAGACTAATAAACAGGAGTTCAGTCACACACATGCACCAGATTGCTGGCAGTGCTACTGTTTTTCGGTCATTCAGTCGCCACCAGTTACAGTCATCTGCATAACGCCCTAAATGAGAAACACAGCAGCTTCATTCCATCAGGATTATTTAAACATCTGACTTTAAGCACAATTTGACTCAGCACATTGGTTACTTCCGTTAATGTAAACACTTTAATATATTTTCCTCACATTTGCAAGTTTTCATATTGTCTTCTTAAAAGGGAAGTCTTGACTAAAAAAAAGCCATTAAACCATTATCTCCCATTACATATAGGTCTTGCCAAAAAGGTGATGATTTCAACAAATAATAAATTAAGTACTGTATATCTAAGGCACCAATTCAAATCAAATAAAATTAGGAATAATTGATACAACCCTCTTTTTGGCTAAAATGACCTCTGCTAAGAACACATCTGACATATTAATAGAATTATTATGTGTTATATTATACTTTTATTTTTGATCTTTGCAATATTAGATCATATCACATATCATCTTACTCATGCAACCTCATACTGAGCTGAGCTATGCTAATTTTTCAGCCACTATGTAACAGTTGTTTTTTCCGGGCAATATAGCAGATTTTGATTTTATTTCAACAGGAAATTTAACTTTTCACAAAACAAAATTTTCTAGATAGTTATAATAGCAGCTGTAGCAAAAACCATAATGGTCAGTTAATTACTAAGTGAGTATAAAACATATATAAAACCATTATAGAGAACTTCTTGGTCTTTGTTGAGCTTTTTGGCTTCCTGTAATAGGACTGATGAAACTGTTTCAGAGAAAATAAAACAAGGAAAAATATATTGGCACAATACAGTTTCCATTAACATTTCACAGCAGTTTAGCTTGCAGGCAAAGGGTTTGCACTTTTAACAGAAGGGCTTGCTTGCCTCTCTGATCTTTTCTTAAAGCAACTAATAACGCACTACATCACACTTTGTCTTTGACAGTAACGTCCCAAACTGAATTAGGACACTTAAATTTGGCCTTGGTGCCAACTGCAACAGCTGTTCTTGCAGGTGACTGAACACAGTCCATACTAAAAGCCATGTATCATTCTTCGCTGTGTTTACCAAGAGATATTACAGGATGTCATTATCAATATATATAGTGTTATAATTTTGTGTAATATATTATTGATGAAACATCATATGAAGCTAAAGCAAAAAAAAGATTTGATGATCTTCTGAGAAATTTAATTAGTTTTAATCCACAGTAACTGCTATAGCCATCAAAACTATAGTAAACGCTCACGGGCAACAGTGGCAGAAAATCAAAGTCAGACCTTGGAGAGTACTACCCCACCAGAAGAAACATTTCCCTTCCTATTCCAGCCACACTTCTCAAATTTTGCAACTTCATTAATAAATAAATAAATAAATAAAGGACCATTCAAACTCTTTATATGTCTTCTAAAGAGGAAACTTCTGGTAGATTTTTATTTCTCCAAGGAATTTCACTTATATGCCTTCAGTTGTTCAGTGAGAATAAAAAGAGCCTAGCTTCAAAACGTGGAGTTTCAGGTCCAACTCCAAACAATAAATTGCAGTCAGCCTGATTAGTTTATATAAATTAGTTTATATTTTTTTTTCAAAAATTTCCTGGTTAGTATGCTTATCTTTTTGGTTCCTGTTGCCTTTTCCAACCTTTTGTACCCTAGTTTTTATCACCAAGCAAAAGAAGTACACAGTAGGAAATCAGCATATTCAGTATGCATAGAATTTAAATGGGACCTATATTTATACTTATAAAAAGGTCTCATGAGTAACTAGATTACGCTAATCAACCAGTAGCTAAAAGTCAAACAAGTAGAAGACAAAGAACTTCTTCAGCACCGCTCCCAAAGCCTATGTTCTTGATAAAAGACATCAGCCATTCGATACACTAAAAAGCATCAATTCAAGATTCACATGTACTTTTTTTTTCTGTTACATAGAATAACATATCCATACAGACTTCATAAACAGGACATGTGTAATACCAACAAAAATTGCTAACCTAATAAGAAAATTATATTAATCCCAGGAGGCCTGGCTAGTCTTCAGATTCCAAAGAAGGGATGTTCATGATCAGCAGATCTCAAATGATTATCGTGCTTATTTCATTAATCTCATTATTTTGACTAGAGCACAACTAGCAGAAAACAAGGGGAGTATCCTGGCAATTAAAGACTAGCTTGTTGGAACTCAAGAAATTGAAAAGAGAATTAAATGTGTTACAAATTAAGATCTTTATTTTTTGTGAAATTATTACAACCTATTAACTACAAACTCCCATAACAGGCAAATATTTCATTGCACTTGTACACACCCAGTTGAAAAAAAAAAACATTCTAAGATACAGGTGGCCTCCTGTGAAAAGTGTATGTAAACATAAAAAGGATGCAGAAAGGAGGTATTGCATATAAGAGGAAATGTATGAGAAATACATGCACAGTCACATTCCTCACCTCAGACAATGCAGACGAAAAACAAGTAGCACATACTCAGCAGCTGCTATAAAGACTATTATAAAGATTTTTCAGCTGCAATCTTCCTCTGTTCTACAAGAACCCAAGTAGCTTATTTGTAATCTAAAACCCAGCTTCCTGAGGCATATTTTAGAATCTTAGCTAATGATTAGAAAAAACATTTCTCATCTTTAATGAGAAGCTCATCTTTAATTTATTTGTACTACTTATTTACCCTATTAGTCAAAACTCTGAATCAAGACATTTGACTTTGAAAGAATAAAGATGAAATAAGGATGAACTAAACTGATCAAATCAAAGGGTAAGCTCTGCCATGCTATAGCATTTCCATACAACTATTACTAAATAAAGTAACCTAAAGGCTATCTGTCACCTCTAGCTTGTTTGAGGCTGGTCTAGCTTGAACAATTTTAGGGAAAAAAAAAAAAAAAAAGAGGTTTGGGTTTGCAAGCACATGGGGACAGACATTTATCTAAGCACCGGAACAGATGAACTCTACCATGATCATTCATCATCACACAGCATCTCTACATTTTCCTCTTAATTTTAAACCCCAGAGTATTATTTAGAAAAGTTCAAACTGGGAAAACTTGATAACGTCCCTTACTCTCTATATTATATGAAATTGATAAACATAGATCCACATCTAAAACAAGAAAAGTTTCAGCAAGGAACAAGACATTTGTGGTTAAAATTGAACCAGTCTTTGTTGAAATGTGTATGTCTTCCATAAATTCAGTGTAAAACTAACTGCCTTGGAAAAGGACGTAATTTAAAGCAAACACCTGTTTTCCAAACAATCCCAGTAAAAGCCAATTTGGATCCTTCAGAATACAGATTAGATTAGATTTCCATCTTCTTTCATTTCAGTTCTCTTGTGCATTAAAGCAGCTAGCTCATTAAAGCAGCTAGCTCATATGTAGACAAGAAGTTAAGTAACAGCCTAAATAAAGCACTTACAGCTCTAACGGTAATCAGCTGCATGCTTTATTCCCCATGCAGTCTAGTTCTAAACAGAATTGACTAGATTAACAATAGCTTTACTTTCAACTTCAAAAAAGCCAAAAAAAAAGTTCATAATTCAAATGAATTTTAAATCAGTCTACTGAAAAGCTGTCGGCCTCAACAGCAATGCTACAGCCTTGTTTGCCATCTATTTAGATTAAAAGCGTTCTGATGGGCGCCCAAAAGGTCACGATGCAAAAGATGCATCTGATTCCATTACCTGTAAGTCCGTCTTCAACCATTTGGAGTCGAACCTAGTTTGAGCAGCCAGACAAAAAGATTCAGAAGACATTTTTCCTCCTCCAGCCTTCCCTTGGGGCTGCCTGAGCAGCCCAACCTGCC